AGTCTATCGTCCGACATTCTACTTACCTTGTACTGCCAATTCAACTTCTGCATGTCTCTCTTTGTTTTAAGAGAGTACATTCCCAATTCTGCTCTCAATACAGTGTTGCTCGTTGTACTTGAACATCCTAGTATTTTCTTGGCCGCTGCCATCTGCACCGTTTCCAGCTGCTTGACGGCCTTTTCGTTACCTTCCCATATCTCTCCTGCATACTCTAGCTTAGGTACAATCACATTCAAGAGAATACACCTCTTAATCCTAGTGTCTAGGTGTGGGTCCGTAAGGATCTCGTCCATCTTGCCTATCTGAGCTTTACTCTTCCCAATCAACTTCGCTATGTGTGCGTCCCATGAGCACTCCTTCGAAATCTCTACTCCCAGGTACGTATACTTGTCTACTACCGGTAGTTCTTCCTCCCCCCATTTCCATTTGAATTGTACGGGATTTTTCTTATCTTCGTTACAGACCACTACTGCGCATTTTCCTACGTTCGCCGACAGTCTCCATTTTCGGGTGTATCCTACCGCCGCATCTATTTGTTCTTGCAACCCTTCTGGTGTTTCGGATACCCCCACAAAATCATCTGCAAACATCAGTCCGGACACACTATTTCCCTCTACTTGGACTCCCTGTCTTACTGCTTCAACCGCCCTTATCAAATCGTTGATGTAAATTCTTAAAAAGAGTGGGTGACATCGTACAGCCCTGTGCGACTCCTTGGAGTATATCCACGTACTTCGAAATTTCCCCATCCAACATCACCGCACTTCTTGTGCATTCTGTCACGGGGGGGGGGACAAGTGACATAAGGGGTTCAATTCGGCACACACAGTGTTTCGCGCCACTCGGTCCGCCTCTTCGCGTTTCCTGTCTTTCCTCGCCGTCTCGTCCGCCTGCTGTACCCCTCCCGCCCTCCCCGTGGTTGTTGCCGTGTTGTTGCCGGGCTTCTTGTTTCGTTTGAGCGCTCGTTGTCGGCTAGCCTCCTCTTCCTTCTTGTACCAGGGGGTCATGAACCTCTTAGCTCCCTGCAGTGCCCCTGTATGCCACGGTACCCCCCGGTCCACCTTCGCTGCTTCCATCCAAGTTGTTTCCGGGACTCCGAAGAAGCATGGCTCGGCGTCCGTAGATCCGTGCTCTGCTTCGAACATGTTGAGGTCGTCCTTCAGGCACATCTGCCAATTTTGCTCCGGTTTCCCCCTGTCTGGGCCCTCCCCCCCCACAGCTTGCCAAGCATCACCCGTTTCGGGAGTCGTCCGTCTGGCTGCCGTGCCAGCGCTCCCGCGAACAGCAGGCGGCTCGTCAGCTTCGGCGGCGGCATCGCCCTGTCGGCGGGGTCATCGCAGACAGGGAATACGGCAGGAGGAAGGGGGGGCAGCCAGGACGACGCCTGCGAGATCTCCGGAAGCGACGAAGACCGCGGCGACGCTGACGGCAGCAGCGGTGGTGCTCACCACACCGACAGCGACGACGATGACGGCGTGTTTGTGTCTCCGTTGAAGAAGCTGGTGCGCGCAGGCATAGCCGGCAGGCGCGAAGACGGTGGAGACGATGTCGCCGCAAAGACGAACAGCACGGCGTTGCAGCCGGGCCTCAAGGGCTGCAACCCTCCGCATGGAGGGAGCGAGCAGCCCAAATCTTCCGCGCCCCGGGGAGAGGTGGACGTTGCCGACGGCAC